TTAATTTGGTTTGGCCTAATACGGGAATGGAGTCACTGTGATTTATCACCATACTGAATCATAATACAATTTAACAAATACATGCCTGCACTACTGGCTTTTATATTCTCATAATTAATGCTAGGATACTAATCCTAGAGAAAACTGATAGTTTGAAATGTAAACAATGCAACAAAGAGGTAAGAATGAAACAACATATAGATAATGTAATTTCAAGCAACTAGTGTGAACTACCGATTAGGAAATGTAACAGTCAGTTTAATCAGACTTTTCCCTGCTATAAATAATAAATCCCTTGCTTTAAATCAATGCACATATAATATGCAGAAGCAATACTTAATGTGCATAAGAGCTAGTAAATATATAGTCTGAAAGTCTGTGACCTGAAGTGAATTGAACTGGAGCATTCTGAATTGTATTTGTCTTCTGATTGAAACCTACTTTCCGCTCTTAAATTATATTACTTTTCACTTATCCCCAATATGCTCTTTTAATAATCTTTATTGCTGTAAAAAATTTGAATGAAGGAATGTTCACAAATGTTCGTAAATCCTAGCTATTGTTACAGAAGGGGGAAAAATTTAAATGCAGCACTGCAATGCTTTTTTTAAAAAAATATATTATTCTATCCATGTGCCGCAAAAGGAATTCAACACAACAAAAGCAGCAGTACATAACATTTTTTAAACATAAGTATACAGTATGTATAAGAACCCTCCATGGCAGCATTTGTTAACCTTTTTGTACTGCGAACATCCAATGATGACATTCAACATCATATAATTTCCAAAAATCAGCTTCCCTTACATTCTCACCATTAAATGAGACATTTTCCAAACAAAAGAAACAGGGTGAATTAAGCAGCATTGTATAGATTTTTTTTCTACCATGTTGAACAAAAATCAAACAAGCATTTCATATGCCTTCTTGGATTTAATTATTTCTTTGCACTATGGCACAGACATAATGCTTAAATGGCTTTTTGAATGTAGTAGAACTCATTTGAACAACTCTATGTGCTGCAATAGATTAAATCTATTTCCTTTTCTAAAATATTGTTATTTTCAATGTTATTGAGCAACCTTATCCTGTTGTCACTTCCTAATTTCCTTGTACAATTGAGTTTACTGATTTTAAGCTGACATCTGAATAGGAAGTAAAAACCAGAAGACATACAAAATCTACAGACTATAAATGAAAACTATCTTGAGGCTGTAGTTAGTGGAGATGAAATAGCCAAGCATTTTAAGAATTTGAAGAAGCAAGAAGTTTTTAGGTGCCACAAGATTTTGCTGCTCCTACAACAATTTTCCTTCTAGAACTAAACAGCATTGATATCTCTGTTATCTTTCTGAGTCAAAGTAAATACACATTATCATGTACATCTTAAATAGATATAGAAACAGATATTATCCAGTACACCCACGGTATATGTAGAAGACTAGCATCTTCTATTACAACAACCACAATTCTACAGTCAACAACAGTCAGGCAAGCTGAAAGGTTAGGAAATGACAATCTCATATTAGCACTGCTAATTCCGACTGCAGGTGATGCATGCATGCTTTAGTGACAAAGTAAACTTGTTGCTAAGAGAGTATAGAACAGGTAGAATGATCTCAAAAGAAATATAAACATAAATAAAAATAAAAGTATACACATTTCTATGTGCAACATCAAATGTAAAGATAGATGTTTTACCACTGTGCCTTTTTGCAGAATAAAACATGAGAACGACATTAGTTTTGTCCTGTGAAATAAATACTGCTTTAGAAAGTAGAAGTGATGCAAACTTAATGCTGCACTGTAATTTTTGCTCCATTATAACAGGAACATATAGATGGAAACAGAGAAAATTTCAATAAAAGTACACGCCCTGGGATTGCATTTAATATCAGCACAATTCCAAAAAGCAACTAGAAGATTCCTAATTAGTCAATAATGTATTATCTGTGTTGCTTACTAAACTGCAAAGAAATATTATTGGGCTCGGATCTTTGGCTTACTAGTTGTCCTTGCTTAATCCTAGAAGCTAACCAGGGTTGGCCCCAGTTAGTATTTGAATGGGGCCACTAGGGAATCCCAGGCTGTTGGCTACCTTAGAAAATAAGCAAAAACATTCTGGGTTAAAGCAAGGTTAAGCCACTTTCTTAATGCTGTCAAGATAATTGCATGAATGCAATGAGAATCAAGCTTTTGTAAAATAATAGTAGTGATAGGTAGATAAAAATGCCAAATCCAGTATAAATACGAGTCTGACTGCAACCAACTATAATAAAATAATGCAAGATCATCACTCAGATTTGTTACAAAGAACCAAATAAGAAAGGTAGCAACAAAGATGCATTGGAATATCTGCCAGAAATACTACTTGCCTGCAAGAACTGGTGAGAACAAAGTAGAAAAAGTAATAGAAAATGAAAAAGCCAAAGGGCACTGGGACTTTAGAAATCAAACAGATAAGCATATGCCACATAAGAGACTTAACAATTGCTAAGAAAGACAAAAAAAAAGTCTGGATAGTGGATGTGGCGGTTCCTGAAAACAGCAGGAAAAAAAACTGGAGAAAAATCCCAAAATACAAAAAGAATTGCAAACCGAAGTAGAAGACTATGGTAAAGCAAAGACAGTACCAATAGGTGACTTGGGTGCAATCCCAAAACATCTGAAACACCACTTGAATACCATCAGCATTCACAAAATCACCATCAGAATTGCCAGTGGAAGATTTATTTGGAACAGCTTACATCCTGTGCTGAAAGTTTTAAGATTATTAAACAACAATGTCTGTCATCTATCACACTGTCCTGGGAAAAAACTCAACAGGTGGACAAAAACATCTGGCTGACTGTGCATCTATAATAATGGCTTTAAGGTTAGTAGTTCCATATTGATTCCAAGAAACTTCTCTTTTTCCAGCAATTTTCTAACACAAAATAAAAACTCTTCTTCCAAGAAGGCCATTTTAACTGCTATATAAAAAGCAAGGCAGAACTGAAATTATTTATATTGATGAGCTCTGAGAGCTCAGAACCACACTACCTTATCTTATCTGGCTGACATGTTAATAGAAAGCTTTAGACCTCAGTTCATTAGGTCAAGAATGTCATTTATTTGGAGGCAGATGTATTAGGACAAGAGTCACTTGACAGTGCTTACTTGATCTCTCACATAAAACTTATTTTAACTCTCAGTTACTTGGAAGAGGCATGTTTATTTGTACCACAAAGAGACAGGGGGGGGGGAAACAAACAAGCTCAGGAAATAAAACTCTTGCTCTGTTTTATATATTTTGGTGTTGTCTTTTTTAAACAAAGCCAAAACAGCAATTCTCCGTTCCCATTAACCTAACATAGGTAGTTGTTCTTCTAAAGGGCAGCAGAATATTACTGATCCTGTAAGATAGAAACATTTAACTTGATTCATATCTTCTCTTTAACCTTCTATAAAGGCTGGTCAGGACTCATTAAAGTGGCAACAACTCGTTCGTTTAATCATGCTTTCTCACAGTTTTATACCAAAAGTGGCTTCAGTAAATCTAATGGACCATGTCTGGCAAACTGCATCTTCTTTGTTGTCCCCAACTGTGAAGCAGTCTTGCTGGTCACCTTTGCACCTGCTCATCCAAGAAAGATATGGACTGGAAGCCATCTGATCAACCCAATGCTATTGATTTTTCCATTTAACCCAGAGCACTAGTTGATCCTCAATAACTGGTATCAGCTTTTCAAGATTCCAGGCGTCTTTCTTATCACCTGATGCTTCCCTCTACTCTTTTCTTTAGCTGACAATTAAAATGAAACCTTCTGCTTGCCAAACACATACACTACTTCCCAAGGTAGGTAGGTAGACATGTTAAATCTGACAGAGATTGTGATTTGGAGGCTGGATCTGAAAAGATGGCCTATTGTGCATAGCTCAGTACCCAGATACTTTTTTGACAACTGCTACAATAGAGATTGTATCCCTCTCCTCTCCTTCACCACTCTCCTCCCCTTTCCTCTTCCTCCAACCTTCCTACTTCCTTCTCCCCCTCCTTTACTCTTTTCTCTCTCCTCTCCTTTCTTCATCTCTCTTCAGAAGTAGGGAAGAGAAGAAAGGGAGAAAGAAGGTAAAGAAGAAGGAGTGTGGATACGGTGAAAGGGGAAATGGGCGAGCAACACCAAAGTTATGTGTATGTATTTATTTCATTTTGTTAAAAGTATCTGTATGTGAGTGTGGAGGGAATGTATGTTAATATCTGATAAGTATTATGGTATATGTATGGGGGAGAGTTTGGAAAAATAAAAAATTATTAAAAAAAAATAAAAAAAGAGAGATTGTATCCCTCAACTGACAATGCAGCCGAAGGAAGGGATGCCAACAACCCAGACAGGGGTTGCCAAACACCCCCCCCCCAGTACAACCCAGGATGCCAACAACCCAGGACAGAGAGGTGACAGATGCCCACTTACGAAGAGTGGCAGGTCATGACATCAGGGGGAACCATCACCACCTGACAAAGGGCGAAGGGATTTACGCTTCCAGGGGGGAGTAAAAAGAGGAAAATGAAATCCTCGCTGTTTGTTACGCACGAAATCTGAATCCTTCCTGCAAAATTGGCCAAAATTGCGTTTGAGTCTCCCCCCGCCCCCCCCATCCATCTAAGCGATTCTGTCAGTCTGTGCAGCCCAGCCATTAATGCCTTTAACCCACTGGGCCCATCCAGGGGGTGGGGCTCTGCCCAACCACAGCTTTTCCAGAGCCCCCCCCCCGGCCCATGCCCCACTGTTGTGGGCACGGGCCCAAGAGGCCCGAACCCGGCCGCTGGGCCTGGCTTAGTCCGGTCAGGACGAAGCGCCCCCCCGGGGGGGAGGGTTTCCCACCCAATCCTGGGGAAAATGGGAGGCTGACTGTGGAAACCCACCCTGGGGGTCCCGACACGGGCAGAGAAAAAGAGGAAGCGGGAAGAACGTGGGAATGCACACGCGTGTTGGGCGCCCCCCCCTCCCCGCACTCACAGTCGAGGTGCTTCTTCTTGGGGCCCATGACTTCGTGGGTGGTGGCCTTGCAGACGGCCTTGGCGATGGCCGAGCCGGTGACGCTGTGCTGCGCCGCCGTGATCCGGTCGGTGATCGACTGGCCCGACATGACGGCGGCGGCGGCGCTCCCTGTCCAGCTCGGCTCCGGCGGCCCCTCAGCAGCGGAGGACTTCCCCGACGGCCCTCGGCAGAAGCGCAGGGCAGGAGGAGAAGGAGGAGGAGCGGCGGCAGGCAGGCCGCGGGGCGGAGCGCCACCAAGCCCGGCCCAGCCGCCGTGCAGCCCGGGCTGAGCCGACAGGGACGCCCCTGTAACGCGATTCCCCTCCGGCCTCTCGCCTTCTCTCGCTCTCGCGGGCGACGACGACGCGGCTCTCCGGCCGGCCAGACCTCCGCCCCGCCCGGCCTGTCGGCGCCGCCGCCCCCGCTGCCTCCTCACCTCAGAGGCCCGCGCCCGCGCCAGACAAAATGGCGGCGCGTCACGTGACGCGGCGGGCCGCGACGCCTCGCCGCCGCCCGCCACGCCCCCCTCCTCGGCCACGCCCCGCGCGCGCCCCAGGGGGCGGAGCCAGGCGCTCGCTATCAAAACGCTTCGATCGGGGCGCTTTGCGGTCGCCGCGCCGCCCCCCCCCGGGACGGGCTTTGGGGACGGGAGGGGCGGGGTCTCCCCGCGGCCTCGCAGGAGGCGGGAGGGCGCGCAGCTGGGCTGGGCTGCTGCAGAGCTTCTCCGAGCCGGGCGGGTCTCCGGCTCCTGGGATCTGGGCAGCCAGCCCCGGGGGTGCTCGGGGGGGGGGTGCGCCTGGCTGGGTTCGCCCCTGCCACGGGGGTGGGGGGGGGGTAGGGATGGGCTGGCCCTTCTGGGCGGCTGCCTTTGCACGCCCGGTTGGAGGAGAGGAAGGCAGCCGTCCTTTTGTTGGTGGAGCCATTTCTGTGCAGGGATTCCCGAAGAGCTCCCTTTGGAAGAGGTGCAATCGATTGCACGTAGCAAGGCGAAGTCGAAAGACCACAGCAACGCCGAGGGAAGGGAGAAGATGGCCACTTTGCATGCAATCGGGGGAGGGGGCTTTGGGGGAGTCCTTAAGACGGCCTGGGTTCCGGCTGCGCGCCCGGTCGGCTTGCAAAACCTGCCCGGCTAAAATAGGCTCTGCTATAGTCAAGCCGGGTCTGTGATGTGTGCATGCAGTTAGGTGTGCTGATGAAGGTGAAAGGATCTTGTGTTTCACCTTTTAGCTGCTGGGGGGGGGGAAGGGATCAATGATCATTAGTGGCGTTAGTAATGCTGAGTTTCCCATAGGATCTGCCTGGCTGAGCCAATCTGGCGGCTCTCCTGGCCTTCAAATGCGGCTCTGCTGCAGCTTCGTGCAGAGCTCAGAAGAACCACTTTGTGGGGCTGGTTAGCATCCTGAAGGCAGCCCCTAGCCTTTTAATTCACTTTTCAGGTTGAATTTTTAACTCTCCTTGCCTCTTTTGTGCAGATTTTATGTAGGTGGGTGGATAGAGAGAGAGGGGGGGGGAACGATGGCTCAGTGGTTAAAGATACTGAGCCATTTTGTCAACTGAAAGCTAATAGCCCAGATTTGATACCTGAACACCAGGCAACAGGGTAAGCTCCCATTACTTGCCCCTGCTCCTACCCACCTTGTTCAAGAGCATGCAGATGCGAGTGTTTAAATAGGTACCACTTTGGTGGGAAAGTAAGTAACAGCATTCCACACACCTCAGCGTACAATTATGCTGGCTGCATGATCATGGAAGTGTCCTCGGACAATGCTGGCTCCTTTGGGGGCTAAGAAATAGATGAACACCACTCCCTAGTCTCCGACACAACTGGACAGGAGAAACATTTACCTTTAGGCTAAGATAATATAGATAGATAAATGATAGAAAGATAGCTAGACAGACAGACAGATAGATAGATAGATAGCAGTAGCACTTAGTCTTATATACTGGTTCACAACATTTTACAGCCCTCTCTTAAGCGGTTTACAGAGTCAGCCTGTTGCCCCCAACAATCTGGGTCCTCATTTTACCGGCTTCGGAAGGATGGAAGGCTGAGTCAGTCTTGAGCTGGTCAGGATCGAATTCCTGGCAGTGGGATGATAGATAGATAGATAGATAGATAGATAGATAGATAGATAGATAGATAGATAGATAGATAGATAGATAGATAGATAGATGGCTTTTTTTCTCATAGAAAACCCAGAACGGAGTTCCAGCACTTTTTTTAGATGGAACCTTGTAGGGTAGGCAAAGTATGACGTGTGACTTCCGGCACTTTTTTTTTTTTTTTTAGAAAAAAAGCACTGGATAGATAGATAGATAGATAGACAGACAGACAGACAGATAGATAGATAGATAGATAAAGAGAAAGAAAAAAAGAATATAGATGATGTATAGATAAACTGTTGGCTAAGGCCAGCTCAAACAGCAAGTTGGGGAGACCTGTTGCTGGCCATCCAGATGAGCCTCAGTACAGTACAGTGAATTCAGCTTCATCCCATTTGGTTTTGGCTCCTGTGCAAGGACGGGTTATTGGTGACAGTGCTGGTGCCAATCGCCCACAAATGCTTGTATTGAGAATACAATGATTGCTTTGACCAAGCTTCCAGACTCCAACTGCATCTGGGAAAAGCTGACTTCAGTACACCCTGGGCAAGAATAGGATCTTTTTGTTTGGCTGTGAAACTGTTCATTAGAATCTTTAACTATGAAGCAAAACAAAAGACCAACCCCCCTCAAAAAATCATTTTAATCTAAAGTTGGAGAAAGGCTGACCCCTGCCCCTTTGGAGAATGATTTAAAATGTAATGTTCTTAGGGCCCAGAGAGTTAGGCAAAATCAGGGGATAGAAAAAGCAGGTTTGTTTGCATTTTTTTTTAAAGAACACATTCCTGGACATATTTTCCCCTAATTTAGTTGCAGTATAATGATAACAGCCACAGTTTTGGCTAAAACTGGATGGAAAAAAAAGTAACCCACACCTGAAGGTCACTTTTCAAAAGCATTTTTTTTTTTTTTAAGATGGATGGAGGACAGACAGACAGACTGTGTGGCTAAGGTCAGCTCAACTTTGAAATTGGTTGTCAGCTGAACCATGCATGCTTAACCATTGAAAGAACTAAGGGTGGAGAAAAAGGAAGGAAATCAATTGTAGAGTGGTGCAAGAAATTATAGCCACATGTAGTTTACAGAAAAAGAAAAATCAATACCTTATTGATTTTCTCAAGAAGTGCCAAAATTATAAACTATTGGCTGGACCAGAGACAAAACCTTGGAAATCAGAATGTGTCCTCAGAATTATATATTGTCACCACTGATGATAAGAGCTGCCAAACTGAGGATCTTATTCAAAGCACAGTCTGGTTTAACTCTGACTTCCTAGTGGGCTTTACAGCTATGGCTTTTATCTGCCCAAATTTTAATCAGATCTAATGCTGTTTAGCTTTCACCAAATCACCAGGGCTAGCTAGATACTGCCACCTGCTGTGATTCTATGCTGAGTAATTGCTGCCCAAACAACATATATTTTCATAATCATAATTCTCTGCATATTGTGCATTTTATAGTATGTAATGGTTGACCATGAATTTACAAGTAAGTCAACTTCAGGGAGAATCTTGGTGAAACTTAACAGTTTTAGAGCAAGTTGTGTTCTTCAGCTGATATTCTCAACAGTAGCTTCACGAGGGCTGCCGTGTGTTGGGAAGTAATGGGAAGACTCTTCTCTATTTGGATCAAATAATCCCAGAAATTAACTCAGATATAATTTGTTTCTGCTCTAAAAGAAAACATACCTTTGATGCAAAGACAATTACTGATTTCATGGCTAGTGCACTTAGTTGCCTTGTGTCATGGGTCAACCAAGAGAAACTCAAAAGATAATGTCTGAGCAAGGATTTTATGTTACAATTGCTTTTGTCCTTTGCAGAATTTTAAACGAGACTCCAAAATCTTCAATTTATAACCTACACATTCTGTTTCCATTGTCTATTTCTTACCACAAAAGAGAAAACAACGGAAGAACTGTCAATGCCTTTTTTTTAAAAAAAAAAATTAGCTTGCATTTAATTTTTCAAGATTATCATATCAGGAATATGTTGGGATATTCAAATTTTTATTTGTGTTGTGTCTCTTCTTCTTCCGGTAATTGCAATTTTTTTTTCTTTATCACTTCTTTAGGGACTGTGTAACAAAATGTAAATCTTTATTTCAAAAGGATGTGTAGACTAGCTGCATTCTCTAAATTTTACATTAAAGTGCTGCCTTTAGCATCTCTGGAGACAGCAATGAAACGGGATCTTGCAAAACAAATTGGTGGTTCTTATGGAAGACACAATGAACAGCACTGCTTTGCTTTACAGCATTTTCTTACAGCTGCATGTGAAATAGGGAGAAAATTCATCAAAAATAAGAGTTCGTTCATTTTCCTGAACTGTGCAGTTCTTTTCTGAGCAGTAAACTTGAAAACAGAAGAGTGGAACAATGGTTTTATTTGCATTGCTTGTTAATAACAGGCATGTGATGTATAATGGATAAGGCACCAGGCTAGAAATTGGGAAACCTAGCCAGCTGGATAACTTTGGGCCGGTCACTTTCTCTCAGCCTTAGGAAGGAAGCAATGACCTTTGACCCCATCTGAAAACCCTTGCCAAAAATCCTGGAGGGATTATCCAGGCAGTCTCTGAGAATTGGACAAGCATAATCTGGTACCAGAGACTCTACTAATCCTAATTACATTATTGCCACTGGAGATATGAAAAACAAGATGTTTCCCTCCCTTCTATTCATATTTTGTTCAAATGCTATTGTTGGTAAGTGGAGGAAATTAAAATTATTTACCTTCTATGAAATGAGAATGAGAAAAACGTAGATGTTTTCCTTAATGATGTTTCCAATATGAAAACATGGCTAGGGTGGAACCAGGAAACAAATGGATGATGTGGACCCAGTGAGCAAAATATAACTCAAGGCTACTTTCACTGTAGTTTGGCTCTTTATGTGAGCAGTGTGAAACTTGTAGACACACCTATTTTATCTGTTTATTAGGTTTATAGTCTGCCTTTTGTCTGGCCATCCAAGGGTCTTATGGGGGATCAGATTCCTTCCTTCTATTCCAACAATCACCATATCGAGTCCAGAGATTGTGACTGCCCAAGAATGACACGTGGAGTTACTTCCAAGTAATTTATTGTTGTCTGAAGGTTGAGTCATGGCAACTGGACTTGTAAGCCCAATTGCCATGACTCAACCTTCAGACAACTTTACCTGGATGACTGAGAATCTTCATCACTGTATTTGCCTTTGTTGTTGTTCACCTACAGAGAAAATCTTTCCAGACTAAAGCAACTATCAGCATAACTATAGATCAGTGGTTCTCAACCTTTTTAATGCCGTGACCCCCAACCGATCGTAAGTCGAGGACTACTCAACTGGTGCAGCACCGTTTGCAGACTGGGACTTTTGGCGGGCTCAGCAGGGCA